TTGTATTTAGATGAATGTTGTTATATCTAACCTAGGGTTTCATTTTGTGAAAGACTTGTATATGATTAATCTCATGTGTAGTTGTTGTTTCATTTAGTAGAGCATTAAATTCTAGTATTATTTTGTTGTTGTAACTATAATATTCTAGAATTATTCTTGTCATTGATTATGTGTGAAATTAAATTATGTTGTTGTCTAAAATAGGGATTTAAACTTAGTTTGATAGCATGAATAAATTGCCTATGTTAACAACCTTGTAGTAGTGTAATTGTATTCACATTGTAAACTTGATATTGTAAATGTCATTGTAACTTGATAACTCATTTTTAAGGGAGGTTGCTTCTTAAACCTTTTCCAAAAAAGTCCCATTTAAACCCTGAAAATCACGCGTTTTTGAAAACTTCACGGTCGCAGCCAAATGCTTTTTCTTCTTGACATACCTTGCACTTGGTGGCATTTTGGTCATTTTACATTAATTTTTATTATGGGTTTAGACCATGGTTGATCATAGGACTCATTTTTAGGGGGGGTTTCTGCATAATTTTTTTTTCCAAAAAGTCCCGTTTTAGCTATGAAAATCAAATGTTTTCGAACAAAAAATTGCTCGCAACCAAATCGATTGTACCAGGCACATTATGGCATTTTTTTTGTAAAATTTCAGAAATTCATATTTTCTTTATTCTAACTCCCAATCAAGTGATTTTTGAGTCAAAGTTTATTAATTTTTCGTTGTCTATCCAATGGTATGCACAGTAGCATCCATTTCTGTTCTAAATGACCATTTTACCCCTAGAAGCATCTCTGACCATTTTAAACCCTGGTTTCCGCATTTGCTTCTTTTCGAGTCTCGTGATCTCTTAGGAGGTCATTTTGCCATCTTAGAGGTGGTGTTCATCTCTAGAGACCATTTCTCTTTTGTTGCTTCTGCGTTTTGGACTCGTTATCGAGTTAGTTGTCGGGTTACTCGCTGACGCATCGGGTTCTTTTAAATTCAGGCCGTCACACTTACTGTATTAGCAGAGATTTGATTATGCTATAGAATATTTTGTGATTTGATAATTTGATTTAGATTGGATTTAATTTCCTTTCTTGCAATATGATGTGTGTGTGCTCTTTTTTTTTCTTTTTTTTTTTTTCTTTTTCATCTATAAATATTAGAGCTGTGAATGAGTCAATAATCTCCTTCAAGCATTTACACAATTATCTCATTTTTCTTCTATATATTATATTTCTACTATTAAAAAACGTTCAAAAGGGGAACGCATCCCAAGAGAAATGCAAGGAGCCAAACCAAAATAAAACCCTATGGACCCAAAGAACCCAAAAAGTTCACAATCTCATCTAATGATATACAATTTTTCTCCTTCACCCAACTAAAAAGAGAACTAATAATAGAAAATTTCAGCACCCCAGTGGAGTTTTCCTCTTCATCAAAAGATTTTTAATTTCGCTCTTTTCAAATGTTCCACCAAACATAAAGTGGGGTCACCCTCTAACAATCACGAACATGGACCCCACCCTTTGGCTCCTCCAAATGTCAATCAATTCCCTTGAAGATCGAGACATAACCCAATGGATGCCAAAGAGATAAAAAATAAGACTCCAGCAATCATAAGCCACTGAACAATGCAAAAGAAGGTGATCTATAGACTCCCAATCATTTTTATAGATGCAACACCAGTTCACTGTGATCTGTCAGCTCTTTCTCAAATTGGCTAGAGTAAGACTAGAACTCATGGGGAAGAAAATAGATTTATGGATGGAATCAAATATGCAGTAGTTACATACCATGACAACTGCAATTCTACAAGTGACTATTTGGTCAAATTTGTATCATTGCATCCATAACTGTCGAGAAATAGGAGAAAAGGAGTGTTTTGGACAACTGCAATTTTATAAGTGACCATCAGACATTAATATAAATGAGCACATAGTGTTTTGGTAGCTAAAGACGTTGACAACTGCAATTGTATGAATCATCGGGCTCGTGACATTGTGCTGACTTATTAATATAAACAAGCGTAGACAAACATCTTAAGATTTTTTTTTTTTTTTTGCACCAAGTAAATAGAAATTCAACTAATTAATTCGCATTAGTTAGCACACGCTAGACACATCCAAAGATAGATTTTATCTTTTTATTTTTGTTTTTTTTATTTTGATTGAGTAAACAGAATAATTCGTAATTAATTAATAATACTAAAATAATAGTTCAAAACTATTTTAAATAACTTACATCAAGTAAATTAAATTAAATTACATCAATTAAATTATTTGTTATTTTAAGAAAAACAATCAAAGCTACCTGTAAAAATATAACTTGTGAGCCCAAATTTATGTTCTAGCTTCATATCAACGTAGACAAAGTAATTGCAACCCATATAAAGGCGCCAGCACAAGTAATGAATACCTTGCATGCAGGCCTTTGGATGTATCTTTTGATTATTATATTAAAAAAACATGTTATCCAAATATTTTGCCAAATTAAAAACTCACTCTTATCAATGGAATTAATAGCTTTACTCTACAACTATTATTTTAAAACAAAGCCAGTTCTTAAAACAAAGCCACACCCAAACAAGCCTTTAACCAAATATTCCCAAATCGGCAACTCTGCAACTGGTAGGGCTATTCCTCGATCTCAATCGGTTGTTTATGTTGGTGATCTTTGTGGTTAGACTCGAAAACGGCCGTGACTCAGTTACAGTTTGAGGCATACAACTCACTACATGACGCGTTCGTGAATGGAATGAAGAGCTTTCCGTCTGTCTACTAACAGCGGGGCGTTGTTTGACATTTATTACAATCTATCAGCGACAAAGAGCGTGGCGGTGCCAAAGGTGGTGTTTCATTTTCCGAACGGTAAGTCGTTGGAATTACCGACTAAGAATTACTGATACCGGTTAACTCCGCCGGGACGTTTTGTTTTGCCTTCGTACAGTTACAGACATCCTCGGCGTTGTCTATTATCGGTAACGTATAGCAGCAGGGGACACGTGTCAGTTATGACTGACACTTAAAGGATTTATTAGGCTGTGTTTTGGAAAGATCGACAAATTTCTCTCTCTAGCACTCTGTTCATTGCCGGGCTCTGGTCGTATCAATCTCCTTCTTTGTTTGTGTATGTTGGGTAAGGTTCAATAAATCAATATATGTATATATGTGTATGTATATAAATATATATATACCTAACATAAATTTTTATTTATGTGGTATTGTTTGCAGAAAATGAGTATGAATTGTCTGCAATCACAAATTTGAAGGCCCAGACCGACCTCATTTCTCTCAATACCTATCAATATTGGTTCGTGCTGGACATACCTCCTTAATTTTGATTCATGTTTGAAAAATTTGTGTCGCTCTCGTCGTGGTGTACCCACTCTGTGACCTTCGGTTCTTGATTGCTCAACTGAAAGGTAACATTTTTCTCTTTGGTAGTGTCGGAAATGGGGGTGATGTGGTGGGTTTGTGGGGTTCGATTGGGTTTTTTGATTCTCTATGAATTGCTTGTGTTTCTAGAAAGTAAGATGTGGTTGGTGAGGTGGCGGCAATGGTGGTGGCTGGATGGGGTGGTGGTTGTTTGATTCGGTTTGGCGGAAGCTTCCATCACCGTTGGATTGGTTGACGTTGTGGTGGCGCTGATGGAAGCGATCGACGTGGTGGTGATGGTGGTGGCGGAGGTGGGGTGGTGTCAATGGGTGATTGGGTTTGACGGTATGTGGTGGTTTAGGAACAATGAAGTTCCAGCCATGTGCTAGTCTTCAATCAGACGTCAATGATGGTGGTGGTGGAGGTGGGGTGGTGGAGGTGGGTTTGTGGTGTTGGTTTGGGGTTGATGTTGATGCCACCCCACCAGTGCTTTGCCGCCCTTTATTCACAGTCGCTCTGAATATGGCTTTCACAGTCCCCATGATGGGTCGATTATGTTTGCAGAGAAGGAAGAGCATATATGACCTCCACAAACGGCTGTGTGTGTTTGTGTATGGGGCTAATAAGTGGGTAGGTGGTAAGGGTGATCAAGGATCGGATCGGATCGGATCGGATCGGATTAGGTATCAACCCTAATCCGATCCAAACCTAACGGATTAGACAAATCTTAATCGGCCACGGATCCGTTATCCCACATATCGGATTAGATCAACGGATCGGATTGGATCAACGGATCGGATTGGATCCGTTGATTAGATTTTATCTAAATTATTCATTATTATTTTTTATAATTAATATTATTTATTATTTATTTATCTTTTAATCATGACTCAATAGATAATATTTTAATTTATTAATATTAAATTCATATATTTAAATAATTATTAACTAATATATTTTTAGAGTCCATTAAATTATCATTAACTAATTAAATTAACGGATCGGATATGACTCACAGATCGGATCGGATTTTTAATAATCCAATCCGTGAGCTATGGATTCGATTTTTTTGAATCCGCCACCGATCCTTGGGTGTAGTAATCCGATCCGCACGGATCGGATTCGTGGATTCATGGATTATATGTTCACCCCTAGTAGGTGGTATGATGGAGTAAAAAGAGATAATAATCCTTGTCTCTTTGGTGGGCTGTCAATATCTCATTGGTCCTGAGATTTTCTTTGTCACGTTAGCAAGTTAAGATGACAATATTTGACGCTGGCCTTTTTTTAGTAAGGGCAAAACCCCCAATAGTTTGCATTTTTCCCTAATATATATGCATATGCAGCACATTCATATCTATTTTCTGTAATAGATTGACAGAAATTTTTCAAAAATCATTAACTAATTAAAATTGTTAAATTTTCACCACGGAATGAAGTTGGTTCCTAAAAAATTATTAATGAATAAAGATTATTAAGTTATGAAATACTATTAGAGTGTTAATTTTCCAATTCTCTCTTTGGAATGTGTTACTTAATTCAAATTTCCTTTTGACTTGTGAAATGCTTACACTCAAAACTGTTGTCTTAAATTTGTTGTATTGTGTGTTATGTCACTTTTGCAGGTTTCCTTTTTGCAAATTTGATGAGAAGTTATAAAGATCATAGCCCAGGAGAGGACACTGATATAAGCGAATCTGAAATTGAGGAGTATGAAATTAAATCTTATGAAGAGCTGAAGAGTGGAAGCAACAATGTTAAAACATCGGATGAGACATTCACTTGCCCTTATTGTCCAAAAAAAGGAAAGCGAGATTACCCATACAAGGAACTCTTACAGCATGCTAGTGGGGTTGGCAAGTCTAGTTCACAAAGGAGAAGTGCAAGAGATAAAGCAAATCATTTAGCATTGGCGAAATACTTGGAGAAGGATCTAGCGGTTGCTGCTGGTCCATCAGAACTTGTGGCTGAGACTGATCCCCTAGCAGATTGTGACCTTGATGAGATGTTTGTGTGGCCATGGACTGGAATCGTTGTTAATCTTCCAACAGAGTGTAAGGATGGGCGCTCTGTTGGGAAAAGTGGCTCTAAGCTGAGGGACCAGTTGATAAAGAGAGGCTTCAATCCCATAAGAGTCCAGTCTCTGTGGAATTATCGAGGCCACTCAGGAAGTGCAATCGTGGAATTTAATAAGGACTGGTCTGGGTTCAGCAATGCCATGTCATTTGAGAAGGCCTACGAAGCAGATCATCATGGAAAAAGGGACTGGCAGGCTACCACTGACAAAGGATCTGAACTCTATGGTTGGGTTGCTCGTGCTGATGACTATAAGTCTAACGGTATTACTGGAGAACACCTTCGTAAGATTGGAGACCTTAGAACCATTTCTGATATCATGACTGATGAGGCTTGGAAGACAAGTAAACTATTATCTAACTTGACAAACATAATTGAGGTCAAGAGTAAACACTGCAAAGAAATGGAGAGCAAATTCACTGAGACTTCAATCTCCCTTGGCAAATTAATTGAGGAGAAGGATAGGCTTCATCAATCCTATAATGAAGGTGTGTGCTGTTATGGTGCTTAACCTATTACTCGTTACTGACCTGAACAGGTTAAGAAAATCTAATGTAGTATACTTGCAGGTAGATCAAATATGACATTATTCAATTGGTATGCCCGTATGATTCTGTTGATAGTTGGAATCCTAGAGAGAGCAGCCTACGTCTCTGCAACTCTCTCTCTCTCTCTCTCTCTCTCTATATATATATATATATATATATATATTTGTATGCTATTAACTAACAATTATTTGCGGTCACAGTAGTTCTTGACATGTTTGTTTGTATTAACCAGAAATCAGAAAAATTCAGTTCAGTGCACGAGAAGATTACCAGAAGTTTTTTAATGACCATGAAAAGATCAAGTTGCAATTGGAAACTGAAAAGAGAGAGCTAGAGATGCGGGGTAAAGAATTGGAAGAGCGTGAGGCTCAAAATGAGAATGAAAGAAAAAAACTCTCTGAAGATATTGAAAAGGTGTGGCATTTCTGCTTGATTGTAGAAAATCTTATGTTGAAAGTTGCGAGTCTTCGTTTCTGTTTTTCTTTTTGCAACTGATGTAAATACTGAATAAGTAAATCACTTGTTGTCAATAATGAATTGTCCAGGAACTTAGTAGTCACTGATATCCTGATATCCACATGTTTTCTCCAGTGGAAAAGCAACAAAATTTACCTTTTTTTTCTCCCGTTTGTACTGGATTACTGATGTAATGACCAAAACGATGGAATAAAATATTGGTAATGATCCTTGTGTCAACTAGATGAAAATACTTTGTAAGGTTATACAATAAAATGAATTCCAATATGACCACACACAGTCAAAACTGGTAAATCAGCTAAACAATTTTCCCCGGACCCTTAAAATGTAGTGTTCTAGCCTTCTAGGTTTATTTTATAGACACTTCGGTGATTGGTTGTTTATATTGGATGTCAATGCAAAATAGGTCTTTCTTCTAATTCTGTTACAGTATGGGATAGACTAATGTATCTTTTAGCTTTGTGTCTTATCCATGGGGCATCTAGATTTACATTTCTGTCTGTTATGACTGAATGGGCATGAGTTCCCAAACAGAGTTACTTGTGTCACACACTGGTTTCACAGACAACACATGTCCATAAACCAAATACACACACACAACTTGGTCCTGTCATAGTTAGGTCCGTCGAGCAACATTGTTAGATAGGTGCAATGGCATCAATCTATGATGATTATGATCCGGATGTGTATTTGAGGTTGAGAATCGTAGTTATGCGGATGTTCATCGCAGAGTGATCCTCATTAACGTTGTTGGATAAATGGGATATTCTGATCAAGGTAGTTGTTGTCTTGTCCCTCACAGGCCTTATGATAAGGTTTCTGTTACATCATTATAATGCAATCATAATTGTTTACATATGAAAAGATTATTCGTTATATCAGTTTGTTTAATTTTTGTTTTTTGTTGGTAATTTTACACATAAATACTACTACTACATATAGTTTTTTAGAACCCAAATTTATCATCAATAACTTTTGTTGCATATATTTGCTTCTGCAGCAGTATTTGGTTTTATTTGTTATGATTGTGTGCTTTAATATTTTGTTAAATGGAAATGCTTGACAAAATGAATTTCGTTATTCTCTCAGAATGCCATGAAAAATAGTTCGCTTCAGTTAGCAGCTATAGAACAAGAGAAGGCAGATGAAAATTTACTGAAATTGGCAGAAGATCAGAAGGTTTGTAAATTGATACCAGTCATTGATTAATGCCTTAACATTTCTGTGTCAAGTCAAACATAAGATAACTCGAGGTATGGCTGTAACTTTTGATTTCAGAGGCAAAAGGAGGATCTGCACAAGAGAATTATCCAACTGGAAAAACAACTGGATGCAAAGCAAGCACTAGAGCTAGAAATTGAGCGACTGAGAGGGACATTGAATGTTATGCAGCACATGGGAGATGATGGTGATCTAGAAGTTCTTAAAAAGGTTGCGGAAATGCACAAAAACTTAAGAGAAAAGGAAGGAGATCTCGATGATTTAGAAGCATTGAACCAAACCCTTATAGTGAAGGAGCGGAAGAGCAATGATGAACTTCAGGAAGCTCGGAAAGAATTAATCAATGTTAGCCTTTATAATTAAACTTTTTTATTGCCTATAATTTTGAAATGCCGAGTGTACTAATTACCTTTTCCTGCCCCTATATTGGTGCCATCTGCCAATATTGATGATCTTACTGAATCTTGCCAAATATATGATGTGAATGACTAAAATGATTTTTGATAGAATGAGATGCCAGAAAGAATATTTATATGGCCTTTTGGTAAAATTTTTTAGTAATGATGTTAAAGTATGAGATATATATATATATATATTTTTTTTTTTTTGGTCCAAATGTAGGAACCATAAGGCGAATTTAGTGGAAGGAGTCGAATTATTTGATTTTTCCTCTCTTTATTATTTCTTTTATTTTTATTTAGGAAATTCTACTCGATTATGGATTTCACATTGTTGTTAGGTCATAAAAATGACAAGATATCTAATGTTCTATGTGATAGAAGTATATAAATTTAGGTTTTTTAGATATTTCATACTCTTTTACCACATGACAAATTCTGTAAGCTTGTGAGGAAGATCTAATTAACTTGTTTTATAGGGCTTGAAAGAATTACCGAAAAACGCTCATATTGGTGTTAAGAGGATGGGAGAACTTGACAGCAAACCTTTTCATGAAGCTTGCAAGAGGAAGTATAACGAGGTAGAAGCAGAGGAGAGAGCTTCGGAACTATGCTCATTGTGGGAGGAGTACCTTCAAGATCCTGATTGGCACCCCTTAAAAGTCATCAAGGTCAATGGGAAACATCAGGTCTGCACAAGAAACTGAAACTTAGAAACCACATAGTAAATTTGCTCTGAGCTGTTTGACTGGCATAAACTTCATTTTAAAGGAATATGAAGTAAAATATAGGGTAAATCCATATGCAGATTGGTTGCAAGGGGTCAATTATTATATACTACCATCCCCTCCCATCTTTAATGTGCATATACAAACTTAACACAAAATGTTGGGATTCCATTGTCTCTGGGAGGTAGAGGTCATGCTAGGCAGTCTGGTCATATCCTCTCCATCCTGCACGTCATGTTAGGATAAGTGAAATTTGGAAACTGAAGCAACTGTATGTTACCAAGTGCCGATGTGGCATAGCTTATACTCTCTATATGTTCTGTGTTTGTTGAATTTGTTCAGGTCTCGAGATGCAAACACATTGAAGTATGCCATGTTTTAGAGCTACTTATGATTATACCAGCATGATTTGTTAAATAGTTATGATATTGTATTTATTTATGGTGTTTAGTGATCCTTTAGACTTTCACCTAGAAAGCTGTTCATTTTATTCACAATGTTCAATTATCGTGGGTGGTCATATTGGGCCTTCATTTGTAGCCTTCTAGAACTCTACTTTAGTTCTCCATGGCTCATTGGCTAAAATTGAGTTCCAACAATGCTGTTACTTTTTGGTGATGTATAAAATTTAATTTGATTCTCAGAAGTGACTGTGGTTAGTAGGTTTCTTGTATTGTCATGTAGCCAAAGTTCATTGCCATTATAGGACCTGCAAATGCTGATTTGTCTGATTGCGCATTAACGTTTTATGTATTCTCTATGTTACTGTTTACTTAAGATTGATGTTGCTGGTCAGGAAGTAGTAGATGATGAGGATGAAAAATTGAAGGCCCTGAAGAATGAATTCGGTGATGAAGTGTACAAGGCTGTCAGAACAGCTTTGACGGAGAGAAACGAATACAACCCGAGTGGAAGGTATATAATCTCGGAGCTGTGGAACCATTCGGAAGGAAGGAAAGCAACATTGCGGGAAGGAGCTGCCTTCATACTGAAGCAATGGAAACAGTACAAGCGCAAGAGGGGGACGGCTTGATGGTTGGATTATATAATCTCGGAGCTGTGGAACCATTCGGAAGGAAGGAGCTGCCTTCATACTGAAGCAATGGAAAGTATGTAAGCGCAAGAGGGGGACGGCTCGATGGTTGGATTAATTTTGTTTTTGTCTAGTGGATTTCTGTCTATACCTTTTCCATGTATAGCTAGATAGAAATAGTATGGTTGACAAGCCAAATGCTCTTATGCGTAGAACAACCACTGAAGGATTTGGTCGAACTGATATTTAAGATAAACAGCTAAACTTTATGGAATGGTTCCTTGAATCCTTGTATAGTCTTATCTTCCAAATCTATTGTAAATAAAGTATTTTGCATGATGGCTTAATTTTCTGTTTCTTTTTGTAAGTAGTTGATATTTATTTATTTATTTTGCATCTTCTTATTTATGTATTATTTGTCTTTGGTGGTTGTGCTTCAAATTGTATGAACATTATAATGTCCATGATGGATTAATAACTGAGTAACAAGAAGCTTTGTGAAAATTTAAACTATAAGAAATCTCTTGGCCGTCTGAAAGATATTCATTTGCTTGTCAACTGTTATGGTTAGTACTCTGGAAGCTGAATCAGATATATATTATTTTTATTTATTGCTACTGAGGAATCAAAGGTACACAATACTCAATTTGCTTGGTTGAAAAAAAGGAGAATATATATATATATATATATATATTTAATCCTTACAAGTTAGGAGAGGAAGGACTTGAACAATGATCTCATCCGGTCGAAAAACTGCTTTACTAATTAGGTCGTTGTGTAATGTCCTACTAAATTAAGTCATTGTGTAATGCCCACATAACTGATTATTAAACATATATAGTTGATCATTTTAAATAAATTTTAATACTCTCTAGAATTGAAACTCCTCTAACCAATTTTTTCATATAATAACTAAGAAAATAATAAGTGGTGTAAATATAAGAATAAATGAATTCATGCACCAACAAAGAAACAACGAGAGACTTTTTAGAGTGAGTGAGAAACAAACTTCTTTCTATTTCGTTGAAGTGTGAAGTAGTGATACAATATGATCCATATTTATAGGATGAGAAAGAGCATCTTTTGCCAACTTGCACAAGTGGGAAAGATTGATACCATACTGCTAAGGGCTAGTTTGGATCTCGATAACGCTATATGTTATGGTTTGGTATGATATGAAAATAATCGTTTTGGTATTGATATGTTTTTAGTAGAAATCGAAACCATATTTGGTAACGAAAATATGTTACAAATATTTGGTAACGAAAATATGTTACCTCTAGAATTGCTCTTTCAGCCGCTGCGGGAAGAGAGAGAAAATAGAGACGCAGAAAATTGGGTTTCCAAAAATAGGCTTTATATGTCTATTTTCTCTGCTACAGTAATTTGATATGTGTTTGACTATGGATCGTAACTAAGTGCATTTCCTACAGGCCTCATGAATTGCCAGTATCTCAGAATGATTTGAAAAATTGGCAATCATTATCTGTGTCATAGAACGCTATGAGATAGCAATGCCACCACAATTAATCACATACCCTGTTTGTGATCAAGCTTGATGTGGGTCAGAGAGATAACCAGCATTTGCATATCCAATTACCTGGAATTTTGATTCTTTTGAATAAAACAATCCCATATCAATTGTTCCACGAAGATATCATAATCTGTGTTTGACTCCATATCAATTGTCTACGGGTTGGTGTAGAACTGTATCTTATTAATAAGTTGACTGAAAAAGCAATGTCAGGTTGTGTACAATTTACAAGATACATAAGAGCACCAATTGCACTAAGATATGGTACTTCCGGACCAAGGAGTCCTTATCATCTTCTAAAGGTCGAAAATGATCTTTTTTAACATCAAGTGATCAAACAACCATTGGTGAGCTCAAGGGATGGGCTTTATCCATATAAAAACGCTTCAGAACCTTCTCTATATATGTTGATTGGTGGATATGATTTCCTCTTGATAAATGTTTAATTTGCAGTCCCAGACAAAAAATTGTCTTTCCGAGATCTTTCATCTCGAATTCTTTCTTTAAATAAGTGGCAGTCTTTAGGAGCTCTTCAGAGGTTCACTCCAGATTTAAATCATCAACATAAACTGCAATAATAGCAAAACCCGATTATGTTTTGTTAATAAAAATGCATGGACAAAGATGACTATTCACATACTCTTCTTTTATTAAGTACTCGCTGAGGCAATTGTATCCATGCGTCCAGATTGCTTCAATCTATACAAGGATCGTTGCAATTTTATTGAGTACATACTACGTAGTTTTGTATCTGGCATTTTGAAACCGTCGGGAATCTTCATGTAAATATCATTATCTAGTGATCCATATAAGTATGCCATTACCACGTCCATTAGATGCATATGTAATCTTTATATAACTACCAAATGTATTATAAATCTAAAAGTATTTGCATCCATTACAGGAGAGTATGTTTCATCATAATCAATACCAGGTCTCTGTGAGAAACTTTGAGCTACCAGTCGAGTTTTGTATCTCACAACTTCATTTTTCTCATTTTGTTTGTGCATAAATACCCATTTGTATCCAACAGGCTCAACACCCTCAGGTGTTTGGACGATTGGTCCAAATACTTCTCGTTTAGCTAATGAACTTAGTATTGACCTTAAGGATTTCATCTAAAGATAATTTAGTTGTTTAGATGATAACAAGCCATTAATGTTGTTTAAGGACTAATGTTTACATTGAGTGTTATATATATTATTCACATTCAAATAATGACCTCAATGAAACACCAAAGATCATTCCAAGTATTCCATTATTCAAATATCACATCAATGAAAGAAATGGATACAAAGAAGAGTTACAGTTGCGAGGAAGAAAATGCAATGTCCATCCAAAGATAGCTTGGACTACAATGAGCAAGAAATTAACTCAAAGGAAGGAAGAAAGCAAGCATACCTCAAAGCCTACACGATCATGTCAAAGCTTGAAGAAATGGGTAGATAAGATGGAAAGTGTTTAGGATTTATGGAAGTCAAAGTATTTATGAATCCATTTGAAGCTCATTTCTATAGAATCATGCATATCATCATTATTATTCATATATTCCTTTATCAATTAACAATAGACTATGAACTTCATCATATATGATATGTGGAGTCTTTGCTAAAGAATGAGTTAGTTCAAGCTTACATAAGCTTTGAAAGAACTCACAACTTAAGCTCGAAATGCTAGGACCACGCACATTAATCATAAGATTTATTTTGGTCTCTAGAAAGTAAAAGTAAGGCATTAAACTTAATCTTATCATTTTTTAGCCTTTGTTACCATGATTTGGTAAATGACTCTAGGACACAATGCAATTGAAATTTATCATCCTTATATGTCCCTAGACTTTTAGAAATTGGACTTGAACTGAATTGAACCATACATCAAAGTCCTAAGTGGTAGAAAGATGGCTATCTAATAAGAAGCAATTTTCAGCCCAGAAAAATTTTAGACCAGCCTGTACTAAAACTACTATAACTATTTTTGTAGTTGGAGTTTTTAAGTAAAGCTAGGTGCATTGGAAAGCTAACTTCAAGCCCTTCATTTTAGACTCAAATTTCAGCTAAAAAGGATTTGAATTGAATGCGATATGAGCAACACAAGATGCATGTTTCTGGTCTGCAAAATTTCTGACCAGCTTGCACTAAAATGACCATAACTATTTGTGTGGTTGGAATTTTTGAGTAAGTCTGATGGCATTAGAAATCTGACTTCAAGAAAATGAATTTAGTTCACCTCATTTGGGGTTAAATAGACTGAGTTATGTCCATTTGAAGTTCTGCCCGTCAATGGAGCAGCCTCCATAGGAGACAGAGCCGGCTCTTGATATTCCAGTAGCCTATTCTCACAAAAAATAACAACTCCCAGGTAGAGAGCAGGCTCCCAAATTAGGGAGCAGGCTCCATGCCATGGAGAGCCGGCTCTCAAAGCTAAGGGAGCTTGCTCCCTTCAAGACAGACCCTACTTCCTCCGAAAAATTCAAATCCAATGGCTCTTTTGTCTTGTGCTTTGTGCTGTCCATCTCTAACAGCTCTTTTGAGCTTGCAAACTCTATAAATAGAGTAAGGAATGTCTAACATTTTAAGTGACACCATTTGAGAGACATTTGATAAGCGCCGAATATTGTATATTCAAGCGCCCTAAATTACATTAACAAAGTCCAGTTATTAATTATTTTATGTAGATTAACTCCATTTGCATGTTTTTATGCATTTTCAGGTTGAAGTGCAAAAAGGAAGCAAAAAAATGAGGCCTTGTGGAATTTTGAACAAAAAGGATGCCATTTCTGATTTTCTGGCAATGGTGATCCTGACTTTTGTCGCCATTTTTCGACCTAGCAAACTCAAGAACTAGACTTCCATCATAACATGAAAGATTTAGATCTCTGAATCAGCTTTCCAAATCTTCAATTGGTTCATCATTCGGAGTTCGGAGCAGAGAGTTATGATCTTCACAACAGAGGTGCGCAGAACTGCCTAGCAGCACTGATGTACTGCCTTTCTCCCCATTTTCAACCAACCAGACTTGAGAATTGGGTCTTCATCAAAACATAAAGTTTTTAAAGCACTGAATCAGCTCTCCAAATCTTCAAACAGATCATCATTCGGAGTTCGGGGCACAAAGTTATAGCAGTTTTCCCAAAATAGGTCAACGGTGAGCAAGAGGAGCATGTTGCACATTGCACTAAGTTAGAGTGCTCGAGATCACCAAGCGTGTGCTCGAAAATCAGGCAGAATGCCCTTCGGAAATGGCTCATTTCAGCCCACTTGCACATTGGTTTCCTCAATGCCATCTTCCTTCTTTATGAAGTGGTTGGAGGTGTTCCTTGGAGGAGAGAGGGTATTGTTGGAGCATAAAAGGCTACCCAAAGGCCACATATATCATTAAGCTTCATCTTTAGCAAGATAGAGGAGAGAGAAGAGAGCAAGGAGAAGGGTGTTCTTGAGTGCTACAGTAGGAGCTCGAAAATGGAGATGAGGATGATGCTTCTTCCTTCTTCTAGCTCACCAATGGGCAACTAAACCTCATCTAGGGAGGTGATGAAACCCCTCCCTTGTAAGCATGTGTTAGTATAGTTTATTTTTGGGGATTACAATGTATTTTTGATAGTCTTTCCATGGTCAAGAGCCTCATTTTTGTTGTAATGAATGTTGAATGTTTTAAATGATTATTGTGAGTTATTCATCTTGTCTTGGATGGTTGCTTTTCTTAATCATATTGCTTGCACTTCCATGGTGACAATGGAAGTTAGATCATGGAATGGTTTTAATGGCATGGAGTTGGAGAACCTAGATAGTTCATGGCTTAGGGTT